GGGACAGTTAAGGTAACAGTGATGACAAGAAGTTAAAAGTGTCCCACTGGAAATTTGCTCTAACAAGGTGATCATCTTATTTGAACAGTCAGTCAAGATAGTTATGCTTCCAACATGTGCAGAGCTCCACATTGCCTTCCTATGATTTCCGTAAATAGAGAAAACCTTGGAAAACCATGGAAGATATTTTGCCCTCAGTAGAGAAGGAACTAATCTTGTCAATGAGAGGGGCAAGTGCTTCCTGGGTACATAGCTCAACACAGCTGGACAGCATCTGATTTGTAACAAACCAATATTTTCTCCTCTCGAGAAACAAAATAATGAAGGAATGAAGGGATCATCTCAACACTTTATTTCAGTTAAAATTACAGCATATAATTTGGTCTGATCAACACAATTAGAAAGGCTAAGGCCTTCATTACTATGGAAATTAGAAATCACTTCATGCAAGAGTTACAGATAAAAGCATCTTATTAGCTTACCTTTATGAGACACCATCAACAGCGTATCAGACAGCAGCACCGTAGTTCATCCACCTGGATGAAATCACTGTTATTCAGAAGGCCAGTTTGGCTGATCCATAGAACAGGAACTTTCTCACACTGGCTCAAAATATTGTTCATTTTCATTAGTCAAATAAGCTATACAAAGGTCACAAAATGATGTGATACTCACTGGGCAATAAGCATTATTAAGCTCTGTCCTTTCTTTACTGTAATGTGAGTGAATTCATAATCCTTGAAATATGATATGTCAATACGGCCAAATAATGAAATGGTACTGATGCTGTTGGAAATCAGAGAATATGAGATGGAATAAGTGTGATAGGGAGCTTATACCATTTTATCACAATAAACACTTTTCTTCCTTAGAAAAGGAATAAGACATAAGACTTAGCATTTCAGTAAATTCTTTATGCTCTGAAAGAACAAGAATTCAGAGTCTTTAAAATCACAGACTGTAAGAACAGAAGCTGCAAGCCATAACTCAAAATTGATGTGTCAATAAACCCAGGAATTAAAGGGGAATTTGAAAGCCTCCTCTGGAGAGCCAAAGCAGGTTTGGCAATCAGTCAAAATTTGAGATAGTAAAGTTATATTTGTCTATCTACCTACAGGTTTTATTTCAACAAAAATAGAATGCAGAAACTTACAGACATATGCCTAAGGCTGAACTGGCTAAAGATAATCTAATGCATTTGTACTCAACAAGCATTAATGTGCTATTAGTGTTGGTTTTGCTAAGTGATGTACAAATGGTTGCTCTTTACCAGTAAGTTAGTATTTTGAGGTAGTTCTCACACTGGTTTTCATTTTAGGCCCAGAACTCCAAGTCTTCATGTCAAAACAATACTGATGCTTGTTTACATCCAAACCGAAAGATTTCCTTCTTTTGCCAATGGTCCATTTGAGGAAGGTTTTTATTATTACAGCTTTGACTACAGTCACAGAAAATACTGTCTTTAATGCCTGAGCAAAGATGAATCAAATGGTTTTAAAATGCACTGAAAGATCTGAAAGCAGATTTAGTAATTCTTACTCATTCAAATTTCCAGTTTTAGAGCTCCGTAAATGCCTGCAAGTATCTTCCTTCAACACTATCGGAAGCCTTGGTAATTTCAGTTCTGGATCATGCCCAAGATACATTACAGATCAATGCTTTGCTAGGACCCTGAACCGAAGAAAGCCTGGGGCGTATCCCTTTCCTGCAGTAAAAACTCCAAAATGCCCACACAGCTCACTCTTCAAAACTATGTTTTACCAGAATGCAAAACAAAAGCTTGAAGACCTTCAGCATGCACATCCCTGCCTGTGCTGCCACACCAACCTGGTATATTCAGTTCTGAATAGGCTACATGCCTTCTTCCTCCCAGGAAAGTGTTTTTCTTCTCTCTGCCTCTGAGATATGTCATTGGGTCTAGTCCCTGCTGCACTGGGTCTAGTCCCATCCTCCTCAGGCATCCCCCAGTCTGTACTGGTGCTTGTTTTTCTCTCGTTCCCTGACACTGCTGGGACACCAGGACTCTATCCAAACTAAGCAGGGGCAGCTGCTCTCAGGGAAGACTAATCTTCCCGTCTCCAGGTCCACTCAGGCCAGAGAGCAGCAACCAGAATAAAAGCCTTCTTTTCTGCAAGACGTAAAAAAAAAAAACCAACCCTGACTAGCTCTGCTCTTTCACAGTAAGTCCATTTTCTCTCCTTATACAGGAGCGCTTAAATAAGTGACAATGTTCTTCTCTAAGATGGTACTGGTTATGCCATTGCTACCTAATAATGTACAACCCCAAAGCTTCCATTACATACAGAAAAGCCGTTCTAAACTAAGTGTTTATTTATGAGCGCTCCTTGACAAAAGATAAGAACTGTACTTCTTACCATGAGGTATACTATGGCTTTTATTATGGCTTCTGACAGTAAGAAATTCGGTACATTTAGTAAAAAAGAAAAGGCAACCACTGCTAAAGAAATCGTAAATCTCTTCATCCATCTGCAAACAAGGATGAACACTTAATAAATTTTACAGAATCCTTGCAATCAGGCTTTGTTTTTTCTATTTTTCCCTTTAACATATATTTTATCACTTTAAAAATATTTCCTATGAAAGCTATATTTAAAATGCTCTTTGTTGTATCCCACACTTATGTTTTGATTTTGGCCAAATCTGCACCAAGGCTGACACTTATGGCTTAGTTCAAAATACTAGGTACAGCTACACAACTCGTCAGTTTTCATAGTTAACTCTGGTTTACTTTGTTTCCCCCATTTTCTTCCCATTCCCCTACTATGTAAGGTTTTTCTCCCCCTCTGCCTAATATTTTCTTTGCATATATACACTTTTGCCATCTTTTCCAGTGTTCCCCCTCTCTTCCTTATAGTTTTCCAACTCTCAAATTCCACCCTTGGGAATATCCATTATTCTGTCCTCTCCTTCCTTTTTCCCACACCCAGTTTCCTCCTACTCCGTCTTTGACTTCTTTTTTTTTTTCAGATGTGCCTGCTAATTTGCCCAATGCTTCTTGCACTCCAAACTGGTCCTGCCTTCACTCCCTCCTCCAGGCTTCATCAATCACTGCCTATATTCACAAAGATAACTTAACCCCTCTCTCACACTTGGACAACTGCCTTAGTATGTCCTGCATCCACACAGGAGAGTCTTCAACTCGCTTCAGACCTGACTTCCCTAACTTAAGCTCTGGAAACTCAGGAAAACGCTCAAAAGCAGTGTTCTAGCACATGACATCCTGTCTCAGAGGACCAGCAGAGAAGCCAGGACCTAAGTGTCAAGAAGAAGGGGATTTTCCTAGCTGCACTAACCACAAAGCACTGCTAATGCTGGCAGGCAGAGGGAACGGTGGGTATGTGCTCACCTGCAGAACTACACCAACCTATGCAGCAGCCTGAGATGAGCGAGCTGGCAAGCTGGGGCTGAATAGCCAGACTGAGGAGGTGATGTCTGTGGGTGGGAGTGTTACATCCCCAGATAATAAGGCACATTTGCCAGTGGCTTGAGACAAGACTTGATTTTGGCAGCCAGCCTCACAAGGTGTGCAGAGTAAGATTTTGCTGTGCAACAGTGACTCATTTCTTCTTCCCAACAGGGTAATAGTGTTACCTTACCAGAGTGGTACAGTATCATCTGGCATTTCAGTTAAGAACTATGATAAATGTGGTTTTTCTCTTCAGTGCCCTTTACTCACACATAGGCTGTTAATGACGTTATGTTCTAAATCTATTATCTCACAGCTTAGGCAACTGGCGCAAACCCCTTCAGTATTCTAGAGCTGACAGCACAGTCCCTAATAAGGCATCAAAAAAGTCCAAAACAACCCTCCAAAAGCAACAAAGCACAAAATCTAGCATAAGAGGACCACCAGCTATTCAAAACATACCTTTTGGCTATACTTATATCTAGTGTCACGAGCAAACAAATCTCAAAAGAAAACTGGCTGGTTGGGTATTAACCACCCCTGGTTTAGGCATCTGGAAGAAAAAAGCCCTCTTCGGGGAATCCCTTAAGGAGGAAGAAAAACAAGCTAATGCCAAAGATTTTTATTTCCTCTCACCTTCTATTAGTCCAGAGTAGACAGTTGTATACTGTGCCCATCATCAAGGTGCAACAATGAAGTTGCCTGTCAATGAATGGCAACAAACAAGAACTAAGATGATTTTTACCTTCTCATACTGCTCATGATTCCCTGTTCATCTGGAAGCAATGTGTGAAAATATGACTAACTTGGCCTTTAAGTCACTGTACTTTATTTCTTCCTTGTTCGTTGTAAAAACAGTGGTGGACAACGTCAGGAAGGATCAACAAATAGCTTTCAGAAATCTGATTGTCAGACTATTTCGGTGTTCTTTGTTATATACTCTGAGATTTCTCCCCCCAGTTATACACTGTACTACTTAGATTCATTGGTATGCATGCAGTGCTAAGAAGCCATATTTATTCTGAGCGCCAAAAGTAAACACTGAAATCAGTGACGTTGTTGACTATTTAGGAAAAAAAAGCCTAAAAAAGAACAAAGATAATGAAATGAAGTTAAAATAGCCCAAACAGAACCAAACCATTTTTAAATTCTGAATTTATTTTGACAAATTTGCAATAAACATTATCAAGCATGTGAATAACACTTCAAAAGTATAGAGGTTTTATTAGCTGTGTATTTTCTTACTACTTTTATATTCCTTTCATGTCTAAAAAATAGATTTTATTCCTGGTCCCTCACTAGTATGTAAATTTCTACCAGAATCAAGTAATACACATAACAGGACAAAAAAAATATCTCTGAAGCAGGGTAGCATTGTTTGTTTTGTTTTGTTTTTTTTTTTTCTGCAAGTAAAGCCATTCTTCAGAATTGCTCAGAAAACAAGAGAAAGTCCATTAGAACCTTCAGATTCTTAACAAAGACTCTCAGCTAATGTTACTGGTCTAAAAAGGAGATAAGCCAGATAATTTTACAGGAAGCAACCCACTGAATCCTTCAGCAAACACAGCTTGGCAATCTATCTTCAATTCAAAATAATGAGGTGGCAGGAGTGTGATGGAGAAATAAGTCTTCAAAAACATCACGTAAGGGAATCCAGCTGTGCTTGTATAGTTTCCAGCTATTAAAGGAACAAAAAAGAGAGAAAAAACTCCACTCACATAAAATGTTGTTTAGAAACATGCAAACAGAAAAAAAATCACATTCCAGTATCTTCAACTATGCATACTAAATCTATTCACGTAGCAATAAAAAAATCCTGTACTCATGAATATTTGTTTTTACATGAAGCTATTAGAATTCATTGCTGCAGTTTAAATATTCAAATTTTAAAGAAACAGTTGTCTAAATACTGCCTTTTTTACATGCACAGATGTTTTGCTGTGAATATCCAATGCATAATAACAAGGTAAAAAAATAATAGAGTTCATTTTGACTGGATTACGAGCCTGGCATTTCGACTGAAGACGTAACACAAAGATGCTCTTTCCAGAGAGCTCCTCATTGTTAATCATCAGCTACTCCTCTCGATCTAACTGCCAGGTATGCTTACAATGACCCAAGCCCTGCCTATTCCAAATTTGAATGCACGGACTCTTCTTCAAAATGCTTTATGTGATCAAACAAATCCAACAGCCTTGATTAGAGTTGGATACATTTTCCTTCCAGTTTCATTAGATTTAATTCATATAGGCAA